ATGCGAATTACGGGCGCGGGATCGCGACAAACGCGTTTCTCATGCAAATGCGTCGCGAGTAGGCACGTGGAAGCGACGCTTCGCAAACTTCCTTTGCGCGCGGCGAACATGCCCGTCCGGTGTTCATAATCCTCTTACCATCCTCGTATCGTCCGCGTACCGTCTCGTACCGGTCGGCTCTCCGCCGTTTATCTCGCGGCTTTGCGGCGAAAAAGGAGCGCGACAGCTCTCGACTTTCTTGCGATACGAAAGTTCCGGTTCGGTTACGGCAGACCGATGCGAATGCAATCTTTCATTTCTTGTGTCAAGTACAGAACGAGAAAAATTATTTCTCATACAGTGAGACTTGATATAAATGAATGCGGTAACCAATTTCCGCTGCTGGTTACAAAACGATATGAGATGTAGTTTTCATATTTTTTTTTTTCAAAAATGAAAACTATTTTTTCATTAATTCGATAAATAGTTTATTTTTCTTTATAGAAGAATCAATGATAGTCAGTGTGATTATAACATCGCAAAATTTTCAAAATTATATAGCTCTTTAAACTAGATTAATAAATTAAAATATTAAATTATTTTATTTAAAGTTTATAATTATCGCATATATCGCAATTATTTTAATATAATGAGATAATGTCACGTATTTTAATAAAATATTTTTTACGATATTTTTTCAATATGGTGGTGAAAGAGCCATTCAAATTTTTTATTGCCATATATATATATATATATATATATATATATATATCTATGCTTAAAACAGAAAAATGATTAAAAATTACAGTTATCTTTGATAATAAATAATACTACGATTGCAAATGGGTTAATCTAGCGCGAAGAAAATATCTCGAACATTGCTTTTTTATTCAAGTTAATAAAAAAGCGACAGAAATTTCAAAGAGATGCAAAATAAAGAAGTAAAAGCAAGACCGCAAAGCATACAAGATGATTAAAAATCTGCGCGATTCTCGTGCATCAAAGTCAAGTTTTACGATTTCTTTATGCACCTAATTGTCGTTCTAACGGCAGATGCATTGTGCAAATTACCAGAAACTCTGCTCGCAATAGCGATCACCTATCTTAAAGCACACGATGGAAACCAAGTTAGCGAGGTGTGAACGAGTAATTTATTTCCACGAGAGGAAATCGCTGCTAATTACGAGCGAAATCGGTCGCCAGGCTTTCATGATCTCGCTGGCACATCAAAGATCCTTTGTCGTCGGATAAATTCGTTAGAACAATCGTTAGAGCATCCTCATATCCGAGTAGCACTTATAAAATTCAACGAAACGTGTCGTATCGCAAATCGTATGACCGAATTTATAGCAACTATGTGACGATTTGCCTCGAGATAGCGTGCACATTTGTAATTTATTGCGTTTTAATACGAAAGTGATTAAATTCAGACATCAAAAGCCAAATCTTTGAAGGTTAATCTACGATTAAGCGAAAAAGTGATATGATTGTATAGCTAATAGTGGATCATAATCCACGCGAGCTACTTTTACATATTTAATATCGCAATCGAACACGCATGACTACTAATAATAAGTTTAATTGAACGTAATCTTCATTTGAATGTAATCTTCATGTGAATAACGATTTCACAATTGCAGAAATCTATTTAAAATTGTATACATCTGAAAATTATATTACATCTAAAGAATTCGTAATGAAAGCAAATGTTGGAAATCTAATAGTGAATATTTAAAAATCATTCAAAATTTATTATTTTTGAAATAATGATGATTTTTTTACGGTACATTCAGAAATTCATCGAACAATTAAAGAATCTTTAATCAAACTATGATGTTGATTAAAATATTTGAATTTCCAGTATGAAACGGAATTATCTCTATTATTTTTTCTCAAAATGTTGTTTCAAATGTTCAGTTTCAAGAATGGTCGCAATTATGATAACTTTTCCTTGATATGTCACTCTAAACCTCGACATCTGCGCTGTCACCGGGACACGACGTTGTGCCAGCAAATTTATTTCTGCTTCTTGGCTTTCTACGTATTCAAACACTTAGGAGAATTGCATGATATACTTTATCAACATGCATTACTTTAATTTATTAATCAAACTTGAAATTGTTTCTTGTTGCGGTAAACTTATCTCGCAGTTAGTCCTTGATATAATTGTTTCTTAGGTTAAAGAAATATCGTTATTATAACGCATATTAATCATTCCAAAGCGCTGTCAGGGAAATATTTCTTATATCGCTAATATCGCACTTAAAGACGATGGAGTTCATCGAAACTTAAAGCGACAAAGCGCTCTCTCGTGCTAAAAACTTTGCGAGCGCTTCTTGAAAGGTCGCATAAAAGAAAGTGAAAGAAATTTCTTGTGAATTTTGTATTGCAGTGGATTATAATGGATTTTAAGTAGGTTTTACAAACGTTTGGAATTTATGGTTTCCGCTGCCTTTACTTCTATTTCTTTCTCCCAAGTTCGTAGTTCATAAAATCAAACACTTTTAATTGAATGCGAAATCATACCGTGCTTCCAATTTTAAGAACAAAGAAACATGACGCCTAGGTACGTGTAAGTGTGTTTCGAATACGAAAATCGTAAATCAACGTAATTTGAGTTTCAATTAATTAAGGATCGATATCTTGATATCTTACGCGCAAATAGGGCAATTTTCCGAGTAATTAATGTAGCATGACTGAATCAACAATCTGTGCAAATCACTAATTATAACATTATAAATAGGTACATAACTTTGAAATTTGATTGGCTATTACGATTTATGATTTTGCTGTATTTTATACAAATTATGACAAATTAAACAAATAAGTAAGTAATAAACGAGAAAAAATTATTGTATTCGATATAGGTATACATAGTAACTGTAAGAGTAGAAAATTTAAGAATGTATTATCTATGTTTATTTACAATTAAAAAGTTATAAGTTGTTCTAGATTACACTTAGAAGTAATGATTGTCAATCATTATCTCTTTATTACATTTCCATTAGAACATATTATTTATTTAAATTTATTTAAATGATTTCTTATTTGGATCGCCGATTTTTCTAAGTCGGTTTCTAAAATTTTTTGTTTTATTTTTAAATGCAATTTAGAATAATTTGTAAAATTTTCATAATTTTTTCATTGTAAATATAAAAATTATAAAATAATAATATTAACAGATGTAATACATCCTTAAGCGCAACTTGCATTTTTATTTGTATATAAATTGTATATAAGTTGTTCAATTTTTTTATTACTAAAGAAAAATTTCCAAAATTTACTTGGTAAACAAACAATTTGTTTCTTACTTTTTCTTATAACGCTCTTC